CTGTTTCTCCCACAAAGCTCCCAGGCAAGCAGGTTTCCACACATTCTACCTGAAAGAGTTTTTCTGTTGTAAGTTTGAAGTTTGCAGAGTGCTTGCAAAGCAAACTTGTGTGTGCTCAGAGCACTGTTTGTCATGAAAATACTGACAACAGCAGAACACCCTAGGAGTATGAAAATACACATTTTAAACAATTGCTATTTTTATTATTTGAGATGTATTGTTTGATTTTTCAGTCTGATGCAGAGACTGTAAATAGTTTGTTTTCCATTCTTACACGATTTTTTATACAAATGTATATATAATTTTTTTAAATATCTGTAGTAATTAAAGGATATTTTTCCTGTGCTCAAAACAGCATTTTTACAGACAAAAATATCCAGCTATCCCTTAAATAGCCCAGAAGACACTATTTGACACCACACGTGTCTGCCATGATGGATTCATTTTATTTTAGTAACAGATAAAACATATAAAATTCTTTATAGCAGACAACCCTTCTCCAATTCCAGGCTGGAATTACTTTTGCTTAATGTAAATATACATGAAAGTCCTCAAAATATACAAGCTGCAGTACAAATTTAAGTCCAATGCTTTTTAAAACAAACAAGGTGAAAACTTCTCAACAGAAAGGAGGGAAGACAGCTCAGAGCCAGCACAGTTCAGTACCACTGAAATGAGGCTGCTGTCTATTTGAGATGTTTTGAGATCTGGCCAAATAATCCAAGACCCTGAAAATTATCACACCTGTAGAAAATACAGACACTGCTTCCTTCCTGGCACTGTTCTTGGTGCACAAATTCCTGTATGGAAGGACTTATTCTTCCATAGTAAAGTAATACTCTATTTAATGGCATTTTTTTCTTGCCAGGCTTTAAGAAAGTCATCAGTACTGTCTCCCCAAATTCCCTCCCCACTGCAGTGTTAAATGATATCTAATCTAAAGTGAGAACATGGTGCCTAATGAATATTCATTTGTCACATGAATACCAGCAACAGATTAAGTCCAAAAGTCCCCTGTAATCTGCTGGGAGAGATGTGGAGTGCTGGAGTCAGCACAGCCAGAAAACCTTCAAAATATTTTTCTTCAGAGCTAATTTAAAAACTTCAATGGCAAAGTTTACCCTAAGGAGAAATGGTGCTAAGTACAGATTTATTTCTTTCCTGCTGATGAACACAACCATGTGAATGACTGAGATGTTTTTTCTTGCAGGAGGGTGCCAGAGCTGCCAAGTTAAAAGCGTAAGCTTCAAAACTGACATTGACCCTATTTATTAGCACAATAATGGGCTTGTTGCAGCTCCCGTGGCTTTCCAGGATTGCAGAGAACTAAATGTAAGTGTGCTTCTGCTGTCCCAGTGCAGGTGGCTGGCAAGGCAGGGTGCATGGCTGAACACACACCCCGTGCTGTCTCCTGGAAAATGCCGGCATTACTTGGGGTCCTCACTTTCAGGGCAAGGCAACACAATCCCTTCAGAAACTATTTCCCTCTGAAACTTTATTTGTTGAAAACACATGATGCTTCTCCCACAGGACTTGGGGCAGAGATGGGATGAGTCTCTTTTGGAGTCAGGCAGTCAGACCAGCTCTCCCTTTGGGCACTGCAGTTGGAGACCACCATCCCTTCAGCCCTGGCATCAGCCATTTATGGGAGTGGCACTGCTGGGAACCAGCAGGGCTGCGAAGCAGGTGAAGAAGGGCTGTTCCTCACCTGGTTCCTGCCTGGAAGAAAGGCCGGGTTTGGAGCCTGACTTCACACTTCCCTCAGGATACTCAAGTCCCCTCATAATGGCATTTTCTGATCTTGCAGAATTTCTAATTAGAAGTTAACCCTCTAATATCAAACTCTAAAGATCTACATCAAAGATCTATATCAAACTCTAAAGATCTATATCAAAGATCTCTCTTTGACCTTCTCTAGAGAAATGTAAGATTTCCAACACATGTAAAACATGTTGTTAAAAACATGGCCTATTGAAAAAAAAATTTTTTAAATTTTTACATACAAGTAAAAGTTTTCAGTACAAGCTTTCCTGTTTATGCTTTTGATTATGAAGGAATTGTTCACCCGTTTTCAAAAGCCAGCATCTTCATGAGATTTCTTTTTTATTACTGTTATTTTTGTTGCTTTGAAAATAACATTTTTTACAACTGTTTGCTGTTTTCCAAACACTTCTTATTGGTGCATATCAATCCTAAAAAAGCCAGAAGTGCTTCAGATCCTTCAGGAATCATCAGTACTTTGTAGAGACTCATAGAATAGCTGAGGTTGGCAGGGACCTCTGGAGATGATCTAGGCCAACCCTCCTGCATAAGCAGGTTGCTCAGGACTGTGTCCAGTCAGCTTTTCAAAATCTCCGTAGAAGGATTCCACAATGCTCTGAGCAACCCATCCCACTGTTCAACCACCCTTGCAGTAAAAAAGAAAAAAAAAAACCACTAAAAAATTCTTACTTTAAAAAAAAAGTCTTATATTTCAGTTTATGTCCATTGCCTATTGTCACCAGAAATCACTGAGAAGAGTCTGGCTCCTTTGCTCCCTGCCATCAGCTATTTACACACACTGATAAAGTGCCCTAAGCCTTCTCTTCTGTCCTTGGCAGCGACTCGCCCTGGGGACACTCTCAGTGTCCCTGCATCTTTCTGCTCTCCAGCTGGACAGCCCCAGCCCGTGCTGGTGGATGTGCTCCTGCCCAGGGGCAGGGCTTTGCACTCCCTTTTGCTGAGGTGCGCGACTTTCCTGTTCGCCCAGTTCTCCAGCCGGTCTTCCCCCTGGATAGCAGCACCCACGCCTTGGAGTTCTGTGCCACTGCAAACCTGAGGGCACCTCTGTGCCACCAGGCAGGCTGTGAACAGAGGCGCTGAGAGCACCAGAGCGGGGGGGATGCACGGAGCCTTTGAGCAGGGCCCCAGGGAGGAGCAGAGCTTGGACGGGGCATTTGTCCCCCCGCCAGGCCTCTCTGCTATCCCTGCTCTTGTCGGCAGGAGCTCCAAGGGCTCAGAGCACAGCTCTGCCGGGTGGCACAGGGATCCAAGTCCTGCCCAGAGAGAGCTGCGGGGACAGCCCAGGCAGGATCCAGGCTGCTGCTTCCAACCGAGAAAGCTCGGGGTTCAGAGGCCGTGCTGCCCGCTCACACACGCCTTTGGCCAGCGTTTACAGGTGCTCGCCATCGAGGAGCAAAGCAGGATCTCTCAGCAGGCAAGCTTCTGTGAGAAGGCTTCTGCAGCTGAGTTTGCTGCAGGGTGGGCCGTGGGTAGATTTGGGTTGCTTCTGACAAAATTATCTATTTAAGAAACAGTTTGGGGGAAATATGGGATGAGTGTCTTATTTGAAAGTCTCAGGAGAGTTCTTTACATGATTATATGATGTAGTAAAAGAGGTAAGTTTGATTCCTTGCATAAATTATTACTATTAATAACTTAATTATAAATTTAAATATTAATTATTATAATGAATCGTTTAGTACCTAACAATTATAGAGTGTTACAAACTCTGAAATAAGCACTACAAGTCTCTAAATAAACAACATATTCATGGCCTGAAACCTGACTTTTTTTTCCTTGTGTTTAGGAGACCTCAATACAATAGACACCAAAGCTCTGGATTTTCACTTACTCCAACAGAAAGCAAACAAGTGTCAGAGTAAGTAAGAATCAGATCTCAAACCCCAGTAGGTTTAGACTCCTCTGATGGAATTTCCACCCTTCTGTTGTGTATTCTTCTACGTCATGAATAAATTCAAATTCTTCCTCATGCTCTTCCATGCTGGCACACTTTTCTGACCTCTTCCATATCTGGTCTCTCTTATTTTGACTTTCATTTTGTGAACTAGCAGGTCACTGTATTTCTTTTCTTATAGTTTAAACAAGGAGGCTCTGAGATACAGAAAGGCTAATCTCACATTTCTCAAAAGTGTATCTGTAACTTTCATTCTGTTTCTGGATTTAATTCTATATTCAACACATCTTTTTTATTATATTTGTCTTTGGTCCTGCTCAAGACCCTTCACAGTCTGTTTTACTTGGCAGTGAAGAACCATGGCCATACGTAGTGTTAAGGTTGAAAGAAACTACACAGCTGTGGCTGGAGAGTGGAGCTGGAAAGGGGCTCACAAACAAAATTTGCTATCAGCTTGAGGATGTGATAGTCCAGGGAAGTGTTGCTCTGTCCTTCCTAAGGCTCAGTTTAGGATTCAACTTTGAAAATATTTCAGAGATCCATTTGGAGTGAGGCTGGAAGGAAGCTGCTCAGCCCAAATCGGAATGTTTAGCCCGGGAAGGGCTGTGGAGTACCCCTGCAAGGCCGGGATTAGAGCCGGCAGCATCCACTTCCGTAATTTACATACACAAGGCTGCTTTTTGTGCCCATCCGGCACGTGAGCACCAGCCTCAAAGCATGCACTATATCCACGAGGAAGAGAGGTGTAACTCCAAAGGGGGCACAGAGGGGGAGAGCTGTGCTGTGAGGGAGGACACGCACAGCTCCTGAGCTGTCTGACGCGCTGGGAAGGACGAGACTGAAATGCACAGGGGCAGAGGCCATGAGCTGGGTGCAGGCACGGTCAGGGGGCGGGCTGCACCCCCAGAACACCGATGGCCGCCCCGGTACGGCTCCATTTCTGCGTTCCCCCCTCACGGCCCCCCGGCCATTCCCGCAGCCCTGGGCGGGCCCGCCCCGCGCGCGCCCCCTGCCGGCGCGCCGCCCGCGCGCTTCCAGAACCATCGCCGCCCCGGCCAAAGATGGCGGCCGCGCGCGCGTCACCGCCCCGCCGCCCAATGGCGCCCACGGGCCCGCGGTCACGTGGCGGCAGCGCGCCGGGCCGGGGCAGGTGCGGGGCGGGCTGGGGCCGGGCGGGGGCGGAAAACAGCCGGAGAGGGCCCGGCCCGGCCCGGGCTGAGGCGGGCGCCGCCCTGCCGGGGCTGGGAGGGGTTTGTGCGCGCTGTGGTGCGGCAGTGACTCCCCAGCGCTACGTTACGCTACTGCCAGTTAATGTGTGGGAGTGTTGTTCTGGTTTTAGCTCTCGGCTCTCCGCCCTCCTTGCTCTTGATGAAACACTTGAAGTTACCTTGCTCTAAATGCCAGTTTCCGAAAAGGAAAGTTAAAATCTCCGAGTCGGCCCTGTGAGTTCCCGCAGGCTGTGTCATCGCCGCGGGACAGCTGCGTATGGCACGGTCGGGACGTACCTCGAGAGTCCTTCCCGTTACAAAAGCAGCATTTCATTGCTGCTGCCGAGCAAAGGGGCTCTATACTGCCAGGATTGTTATATGCTCAGTCACTCCTCTGTGATTCATGCGAGCTGTCCGGTGCTGTGCGTGCTTGTTCCTCACCCGAGTTTAAACCTGTCTGTCTTTAGAATACTCTTAGCTTATGTGATCGCTGCACGCGTAAGGTACGGCTGGTCATTTGATACAAGGCACTGGTAGTTGGGGTGTTCCGTGATATCACGGGTTGTGTGTAATTATTATTAAAGGTCGTTAAAGTGACTCCAAGGCCTAGGGGTTCTTTGTGTGATGTACACCATTGGTGGCAGTGAGCTGGCAGTTTTCAGTACCAGTGGGACACACAGGCTGATTCTACTGGTGCTGTCACTGTTTTCTGGTCGCAATTGCTTAGGATGATCTGAACCTGTGTTCTGGGCTGTGACCTTGACTGAATGCTGTGCCCATAAAGTTACCTGATCCTTTAAAGGATGGCTTAAAATCTCTGACTATTTCCCACTATACATCTTGTGCTGTTTGCTCATTTGGGTTCATATTTCTATGGAGTTTTAAGTAAATTTGGAGAGCAGAGCAGTCAGGCAGTGTCGTGTCTCAAAACGAAGGTTAGTTGCTGAAGTAACTCAAACACAAGTACACAAAGGGTCTTGATTTAATTTGTGCATATGAAAAGTGGAATATGCTCCTGTTTTTGAGTTAATTGTGAGAGAGAAGTCTCTGATGGAAGACTTACTCAGGTATAAATACAGGTAAAGCAAAGCTAAACTGTATATTTAAGAAGGTTTTACTTCCTATTACAGTGCTTCGGTGATAACACTGTTTTTACTACAGATTTTCTCTGATTGGTTGGTTTTTATTATTTCTGTTGTAGTTGAGAGTAAGTAGTTAGTGTACTTTGTCTAAAAACCATGTAACAAAACAGCAAAATACATTTTCTTGTGCATTTGCAGGAGCACAGTGTGTTAAGTTATCTCAGCAACCATGCTGGCTGCCAGGCTGGTGTGCCTGCGGGCACTGCCGTGCCAGACCATCCGCCCCACCATCACTCAGGCTTCCCCAGCCCTGAGGAGCTCCAGCATAAAAGCATACAGGCTGTGGCAGCCTAGCCAGGTAAGGTAATGCTCTTTCTGATGGCCCTGACTGCACATATTTTAGAGGGTTCAGTGTATTGCTAAAAGAATCACTTTGTATGGAGTACCTGATCTGAATGAGCATGCTTGTTTGAGGTACCTGCTCTAATTTCCTGAAGGAAAAATGTTCTTCAGTCAAAACACAGGGGTTTTGGAGCAGAATAATTGAAATCTTCTGTTTCAGTGACTGACTTGTGTCTTGAAATTAATGGGCAAAAGAGGTAGTTAGGTATGGACAGGCTTTACTAGGTAAGGTGGGAGGAGCAGAGATTCTTGTCCTGTCTCCCTGTTCCCAGGTTAGAGTCTTGAATATAACATTAAAATAAACACTTTCTTTTCAGTTATTTTAGTCCCAATGTGTGTTTCGAGCTGTATTGTAGGTTAGGGCAGTTTCTGAGCTATGGCAGGATAGTCACAGATCTAAGCAGCGTTTTTAAAAACCACACTGTCATTATCCTGAGACACTGTTTACTCGTTATTAGAGAGGATGTCTCAGACCTGCAGCTCACAACTGTTAGGGGCTGTTGTTGCTCTTCTCCCATCCTGATAAAAGTGCTAGTGGCAAATTCTTCACCCCTTTTGTATTTTCCTCTTAAGCATTCTAAGTTTGTAGTGGGTTTGTGTGTCTAGCTCTGGGCTGGATTTCATTGCTGCCAAGCACAACCAAAGTCAAGGGCTCTGGTAAACCCCTTGAATTGTAGTGCTCTGGTGCCTGATGAGAGCAATGCTTGTAGGTTTTGTATTCTAGTGTTGAAACAAACTCACAGTTTGAGGTGAGTCCTTGACTGCTCAGATGCAATTTTAATTTAAAAATTCCTGTAAAAAATGGTAAGAAAACATAAAGTTGTTCTTGAACTTAAATATGAGTGTGTTCTCTGTTGGTCTTGCAACTTACTCAGACTTTGAGCAGCATACTATAATTACTTGGAGCTTGTTGACCTTAAAAATCTTGAGTTTCTAGGCCTTCATTCAAGGTTTGTTCTATAAATCAAGGTTAGACTTGAAAGCAAGAAATTTGTGTTGCTTCTCCAGCTTTAGTGTCTGTAAAATAGCACAAAAGTACTGTGCAGAAATTTTTTTTTACGTTGAAGTGTGCGAGCAAAGAGTATTTTAGTGTCGAAAGCACAAGGCTTTTTTACAAAACAAAAAAGTAATGATTATGTTTTTATATCTAATAGAGAGGCTTGTGGCCGTGTTTAGTACAGTGGCACTGAAGTAGAAGAAATGCAGTCTGAATATTTCAGCATCTGGAATTCACTGCATTGGTGAATTTGGTTCTTTATGGTCAATTGGTTCTTTACTTCTAGAATATGTGAATGTTTTTCACAAAGGTTCCTCATCTTTAATGCTTACTTGTTTTCCTTGGGCACAGTTGCTTTGTATGTATGAAGGTAAAGACAGATTAATAAGAGGTTAATTAACAATTTTAAGTGTAGCAAGTAAGTTGGTAAGACTATCTTCTATTTTATTTCATTAAATATTTCTTATGTTATTTTTGAATTTAACAGAGTTATGCCACCAGAGCAAGAATGGGCACAAGGCGTGGAAAACTTGGCCAGGATGTGAAAGAAGCAGCATTTGAGCCATCTGCAGAAGCTGCACTTAAAGGTAGAGGAGCTCTGCTTAAAATACTGAAAATCTTTCAACCTGAACTTAAAACTTCCTCGAAGAAATATGCTTTTCACTACCGAAACTGGTAGTGAACTGACTTGAAATGAAGTGAAGCTTTTAGAAGGAGGGGTAAAGTGGAGCAGCTGTTGCAGATACATCAAAATTCACACGAGGATGTTGTTAACTATCCAAGAAAAAGCATTAATGGGAGTGTGTTTTTGATTTCTTTACACAGCTGATCGCCTGGGGAAATTCATTCTTGCTGGAGGGGCTGCTGTTGGCCTGGGAGCCCTGTGCTACTATGGAATGGGCATGTCCAGTGAGACTGGGGCTATCGAAAGGGCTGCGTAAGTAGGAGGGTTTACCTCTTCAGTGAAGCAAATCTCCTCTTTAGCTGCCATCACCCAGTGTACACTCAGCTTTGGTTTTTCTAAGCTCTGAAGAGTAAACCCCCACTTGTGTCTCTGCAGGTTTTTAAAGCAAAATTAGAATTATTCAGCCTTAAATGGATAGTAGTAACCTCAGTGAGTTTGTTTTGCTAAATCTAATGTGAAGAGTATATCAACTTGTCTTATGAGGTGTGCTCCAGATAACTTAGGAAGTGTGGTCTTCTGAAAAGCATTGCTAAGGCCAGTTTCCCTGGTGTTCTTATGAGACTGTTCATTCAACTTTAATACAGCTGTTAAAAAAGTCTCCATTAAGCACAGTATTTTGGCATAAGCTTTGATATAATAAATGTGTTCTTAAAATTTTAGTGACTTGCTTCTTGGTCAAAAAAAAAACCCCTGGCTAATGGCAAAACTGTATAGTTAGACTTGAAAGATAGGTAGTAATAAGCATGGGTTTGGGAGAAATATGTGTTGGGGATATTTTGCTTTATTTTGCATTTGTATTTGGAAGTTTCAGTTTGCATTTATACTGAACATGTGCCATTTGTGTCTGTGAGAAGCTTGTCATAGATAGAACTGTCTATGACATAGGTTTTTCTTCTGCACAAGTCTTGAATAACAGGTCAAAAGAGTGAAGTGGGAAAAATCTATGCACTTTGTTTAAATTTAGTGTTAGCCGGGACAGTTTCCTTTCTATAGTGTGAGCAAATGATACTGCAGAAACTCACTCACGTGTAGGTCTGTTGCTATTGTTAGAGCTCTCAAAACGACGTTTGTGTCCTGTGGTCTCAGATAACCATGTGCACTATGACTCAGCAATTTGTGAGCTGCTCAGCAGGCTGCTCAGTGCCGGTACACATTCTGTAGACCTTTTACCTGAAACCAGTTTGTTATATACACACACCATTCCTTTCTTTTTTTCTGTAGTTAAAAATATTCATTACTCTGTTTTCCATGCATGCTTCCTGCTTAGAATTGAATTAGTTAGCATTTGTAATTTTCAGTATTTCTACTGAGTTAACATTAGATTAAATCAGCAAGATTGGCAAGTTCAGTCCCCATTGTAAAGTAAACTCATGGCAGAAGTTGCTAGACCTCATCATTATAATGAAACCTCCCTTATATCCATGGATGTAAATGTACTTGGCAGCTTGATTGTGTTTTTAGCTGCTCTGTGTTCTGAACCTGCTAACTGCACAGCTCTGTGTGACTGCTTATTTTTCAGTATTTGGCCACAGTATGTGAAGGACAGAATTCAGTCTACATACATGTACTTCGCGGGCAGCATTGGCATGACAGCTCTGTCTGCTGCAGCAGTGAGCAGAACTCCTGCACTCATGAACCTCATGACAAAGGGCTCCTGGCTGGTAAGCTTCGTTGCAAAAATAAAAGTATTTGCTGAGGAATGCTACCAAATGATGGCTGATATTAAGAAATCCGAGAATTATAACTACTTGGTGGAAAGTAAGGCAAAACTTAATCTACCTTAATGTCCTTATCCATAAAGACTATTCAGGTATCCTCATGATACTTCATGATGTAAGATTTGGTGATTCTAGTCACATTCTGACATGTGTTTTCTATACTGTTTTGATGGTTTGTCAAAGATAAACTACATGAGCAAAAACCACTATGTTTGCCTTACCAGCTATATATATGCAAGTAAGAACCTCTTAGAAATAGCTACCTAAAAAAAAATGGCAAGTTTTCTGTTGCTGTCTGTAATTAGAAACTGAGGTCTCTGTGCATTCTTACTCTGCCCTGTGCTCTGCCATGCAGCACCTCGAAAGCTGTCTCTGTTTGTCAGGGCTGAAGCAATACTGGTAGGCTTAGTATGCATTCAGTGTGTTAAGTGCAGTGAAACAGTAACAGTTAAATGCAGTTAGGGAGATGAATTTGATAAAGCGTCATCGGTGATAAAAGTGGTACAGTTCTGACCAGTTGGGTAGATGTTGAATGATTCTGCTTGGAATCATGAGTAAGAAGGCACTGAGGTTAAAAAAAATCATTGGTAGCAAAAGCCAGTAAACTAGTGTTGGTTTTGGGTGGAGAAATGTACAAGAAAAGGAGGGCTAACACATTTCAGGTACCTTAATGAGAGTGAGGGGCAGGACCATGGGTTTCCCTTTTCTTACTTTACACAGCCAAAAGAGTTACCAACTTCATCATTAAATTTGGATTTCTAGAAAACTGAATAAAAATAAATGAAAATTACTGCAAGCTAAAATCTGCAAAGATTTGATTGTAACCGTAGAATGGATGAATACTCCCTCCAGTTGTGAATTAGGTTGCTGTTTTCAGAATCAGTGTTGACTTTTAGACTAGGAGATTAGAGCAGAGACCATATGTCCATCTGCTAACTTGAGCTCTGTAATGCTGTTTCTTCAGGCAATTGGTGCAACTTTTGCAGCCATGATTGGTGCTGGAATGTTGGTCAGGACCATATCCTATGAACATAATCCCATAGCTAAACATGCGGCGTGGATGTTGCATTCAGGTATGTGTGGTTTTTAGTGTTTGTTGTAGAGATATCTGTGATTCAGTGTGACCAAATGCTTACTTTAACAAAACTCCGGCTTGAAAGTAAATTTTTATATACTGCTTCAGGGGAATTGAGGTTTTTCAGAGATCAGAGAAAACTCCTGAATGTCAGGGAAAGATGTCTTAAGTGTCCTTTACAGAACTCTATTTTTTTTCACAGTCTTCTGAAAGTCATGCTCAAGTTAAACTTGAGGTATATATACTCCACACTGAAAATGGAACTAGATGGTTTCATGGCTGCTTTGGTTTTGTGACCACTTTCTAACACTACCACTTCTGTAGGTGCTCTTGCCCACAGTAACCATTCCTCAGCTGTGCAGGATTGGAGGCGTTTGAAACCTGACTAGAAAAAAAAGGAGATTTTATTATTAGTTTACTTTGGATACATGTAACTATTATTAGTTTACATGCATCTCAATTTCTCACTAATGATACCTACTTCAAATAACAATGGCTCTCATTTTTCAAAACTGTTTTGATAGAAATATTTTGTAGTTTAGAAAAGACACGTGGATATTGGGAATTGGAATCATATTTGCCTCTCCAGAGCTAACATGTCTCACAAGAAGAAAGTATGTTTTATGGTAGTGATTGTTATTAAGTGAAACAACCTAATGAGATATTAATGCGCGAGGTTTTTCAGAGATCAGAGAAAACTCCTGAATGTCAGGGAAAGATGTCTTAAGTGTCCTTTACAGAACTCTATTTTTTTTCACAGTCTTCTGAAAGTCATGCTCAAGTTAAACTTGAGGTATATATACTCCACACTGAAAATGGAACTAGATGGTTTCATGGCTGCTTTGGTTTTGTGACCACTTTCTAACACTACCACTTCTGTAGGTGCTCTTGCCCACAGTAACCATTCCTCAGCTGTGCAGGATTGGAGGCGTTTGAAACCTGACTAGAAAAAAAAGGAGATTTTATTATTAGTTTACTTTGGATCTGTACTCACAGCTAAAATATCTGATGGACATGCATCTCAATTTCTCACTAATGATACCTACTTCAAATAACAATGGCTCTCATTTTTCAAAACTGTTTTGATAGAAATATTTTGTAGTTTAGAAAAGACACGTGGATATTGGGAATTGGAATCATATTTGCCTCTCCAGAGCTAACATGTCTCACAAGAAGAAAGTATGTTTTATGGTAGTGATTGTTATTAAGTGAAACAACCTAATGAGATATTAATGCGCTAAGTGCACATTTCCTACAAGCCTCTAGCAAAAAATCTGACTTACTTGCCTAAATAATTGTTCTATCAGAAATCTGTCCTGCTTTTCAGTGTTGCATGTTCGTAATGCTGTTATGTAGTTGATAAGTCCATGCTAAATATCTCTTCTTACCAGCTCTGTTATGAACCAATCAATATGTTGACTTTTGTTAGTCTTTTTTTCCCAAGATGAGTTCCCTTAAGTGTTCTCATGCTAAATAAAAGTGCATAATGGAATTTACAGTTGCTAATTTATTGTGCTCCCTTTTAGAGAAGAGCACAATCAAGTCCATTGGTGTTTTGTTGTGCATGGATTAGTTTGAGCCATGCCATCTGGCTGGAGATGAACATCAAGTGAGTTTGGCATGTGGTATTCCAAGTTTACATGTGTTCTGTTTTGCTTTGCCTAGGTGTCATGGGTGCAGTGGTGGCTCCTCTGGCTTTCCTTGGTGGTCCTCTGCTGATCAGAGCTGCCTGGTACACTGCTGGAATTGTTGGGGGGCTCTCAACTGTGGCCATGTGTGCACCCAGTGAAAAATTCCTGAACATGGGAGCACCACTTGGCATTGGCTTAGGCTTTGTCATTGCTTCTTCAATTGGTAAGATACTATTTCAGTACTGTCATATAAAGTAGGTTATGAACTTCAGCTACTACGGTGCAGCTCACAGTTGCAGGCTGGTCTGCCCAGTGAAGATTTGCCTTAAATACAGCCTTTGCAACTCTAGCACAGCAGAAAATGTTCTGTCATATTTGGTCTTGAAAAGGAATGTGAAGTTATGGTTCTGGCAGATGCTAGTCTGACAAACAGCCAATAGGGGTGCCTTCTATTTCAGATACTGCCAGTGAGTAGGGAAGTGTGATGTTAGTTCTCGATCCAGTTGTTTTCCTTCATGTGTTTTAGTCATTGTTGTAGTCAGGTCTGCCCAGTGAAGATTTGCCTTAAATACAGCCTTTGCAACTCTAGCACAGCAGAAAATATTCTGTCATATTTGGTCTTGAAAAGGAATGTGAAGTTATGGTTCTGGCAGATGTTAGTCTGACAAACAGCCAATAGGGGTGCCTTATATTTTAGATACTGCCAGTGAGTAGGGAAGTGTGATGTTAGTTCTCGATCCAGTTGTTTTCCTTCATGTGTTTTAGGTTAGGTACTTTCACCTGAAGAACAATGCACAGTTCCCTGGGATGTTCAAAATGAACGGGTTGTGTATGTGACATCTTCAGTGTGCATACTAAAGCTCTTGGTATCAAACCCACGCCACAAACTGAGAATTGAACGCTTACTGGAAAATGTGTGCTCCAGTGACTGGAGTTTGACCTACCTCAAGAGCAGCAGGTTTACCTTTAACACCTTTGTACATTCCTCTGCAGGATCCATGTTCTTGCCTCCCACCTCTGCTTTTGGCGCCGGGCTGTATTCGGTAGCGGTCTATGGCGGCCTGGTGCTGTTTGGCATGTTCCTGCTCTATGATACACAGCTGGTGGTCAAACGGGCTGAAACTCTGCCCTTCTACGGAGTGGTTAAATACGACCCCATCAATGCGTAAGTGTTCTCTGTCTCAGTGTCTGGGTAAGAAGTGGCCTCAAGTTAGATTGAAGTATGCTTTGAAAGTAGCCTTTTGTTTATTGTTCAAAAGCGTGTTGCTGTTAAATGTGAAGAATCACAGGGTTTGAAAACAACAGTGAGAAAATAGCTACTGAAGTTAAAACTGAAATCGTTGTGAGAAACAGAATTGAGCGTGTGATGTCACATGCCTCCAGCAATACATTCTAAAATGTATTTTTGTTTTCTAAAGCATTGCTGGCAGAATTTATACCTGCTTTCTGAAAATAACTGTCAGTATCAGCTGAGACAAAAAGGTTAATCTTCCTATAGTCATTTAATATTTATTAGTCTTTGTCACTAAATAAGAAAGCTGCAATGGTGTGATAGGGAAGGAAGGATTGACTCTTCAGTAAAGACCAAGTCTGACTAAGAAATAACTTTCTCGTAAATGTCTGTCTGATGCTAGGTGAATTCTTACCTCCTTTGGTTCTGTTTTATTCTAATTAAAGTAGAGCAGTACTGATGTTCTTGAAAATTCTTGGAGATAAACAGATCAAAGTTCAATATAAAAGCAGAGGCTCCTGAATGAGAGCAGGATACTCTCTGTTAGGATTTCTGTAAATAGTTCTTGCTGGCAGAGGTGGTAGAACAAACCACAGGTGTTCTTTGACATACAAAGCACCGAGGGCAGTCATAGCTGGGTTTTGTAAAGATAGTTCATGCAGGCTCTTAAAATGAAGTATAATGGTGTGAAACACCAAATGATTCTGTGTCTGTTCAACAGCAGTAACTGTAATTTCTTGTTTCCTAGATGCCTGGGTATCTACACTGATACACTGAACATCTTCATTCGGGTGGCCACCATGCTTGCAGGTGGTGGAGGTGGCAGGAAAAAGTAAACAGAGACTCAACTTTGCAACTGTCTGACAGCCAACCTAGTGCATATATTAAATAAACATTCATGATTAAAGCAGTAATGCTCCAAGTGAGAATTTTAAAGCATTTCAGCATATTGGTTCAGTGCAATGTGATTCAGTCTTAGTTTTTCTTCAAACACTTTCCAGCTCTGTGTTTAAAATAGTCTGAACTGCTTCTTCTAATTGTACATTATTTTGGGAAAGTAAATTATTTTTAATATATGAATAAAATAGTCCTACCTGCTTTTTGAGGGGTTTGATGGCAGTTCAACTCTTACTTTCTTTTTTGTTTGGTTGGTTTTTTTTAACTGTTGTTGCATAGCAAAGGAAGTAATTTTTGAACTGGTATCCCATAGGCAGATAGGGGTGCAAGCTACTTCATGAAATGCTGCTTAGATGCATCAAGTTTTTGTTAAGGTTCATAAATTTTCTTTTAGTGGCATCTTCAGAAGAAGTCAATAAATTGCATATGGCCCTAAATGCAATCATGACTTTGACCTGGGCAGAAATTTCAGAAAAGATTAAGCAGGTTTAGACAGGTTAGATGACCAAAAAGTGTAAAGGAGACAAGATACGGGAACTATGCAGCATTTGTCCCATAAGAACTTCAGTCTCCTTCTGAGTGCACATGAGAATTCCTTGCTTTAATGTTGACTGGCTATAATAGCTAGTTTATTTTGACACTAGATTTATAAGACTGTTAAATGGCAATATAGCTGTGTCTTTCTTCTGGTGGCTAAATTCCTGTACTGTCCAGAAAAGCTCCTAGTGGTCATCTCTTGCATGCTTGTACAATTGGCCCAGAAACTGGGAATTCAGGATGGCATGCTGTAAAGCCTAGGATCATAAATTTGTCCTACTGTTGAGTGCATTAGTTTGTTCAACTCTTCTCCAAATTGATTTATTAAATGTGGTCAAAAAGAAATGTTCCCTAACAGTGAAATTGATTTAACAGTAAGAAATTTATACTTTCCAGACTCTATTGCTGTATGTTGGAATAAAGGGGGAATTCTTGGGCCATGAAAATTTTGACCTAATGTAAGTAGGTCATATTTTCAGTTTCTGGCAAATATGTTATATTTATGTATTGACCTATGAACAATAAAATTCTAGCCTCACAAGTTCACTACTCTCACTTTTCTCCATGTTAATAGAAATATTTTAGTACCCCTGCACTAACAGCTTGGTGAAGAGTACTCTAAATATTTTTTGGTTATGGTTATAGTTTCCTTTGTAAGAGAGTACATATTCCTCTGTAAAAAGATCTGCAGAGATTATTCTCAGTTTCACTGGCTAGCACCTTTTTGGGAGCGTTTCCCAGCTGGAAGATACTGGCTACACATGAAGTGTTTCTGTTAGTGTAACCTGTTGGCCACTTATTGCAGCCAGTGCTGCTTTTATGTCTGTCACACACTGTAGTATTTTTTGACTCTTCAAACAGAGGGAAGAAAGAGTGGATTGGGAAGAACCTTGTTGCAGCTCCTTTGTGCCCAAAGATTTAAAGGCACAATATAGTTCCTGGCACTGTTACAGCTGGAGGGACATCTGTAGTTCTTAGAAGGAAGAAATCTTTGGATCATGTCAGTTGTAAGTAGCCTGTTCAGAGAGTTTTATCTTTTTAAGTAATTTGATACCCTTAATTTCTTTTACTGTAGCCAAAAACAGCACTGTGCTTGTCCTCAAAATCTGAAACGTACAGGGAGCTGTCTTAAAATTCTGATATTCATGCTTGTTACAAAACAAAACGCGGGCAAAAGACCTTTTGTCTAGATTCTGAGGCTGAAGTTTTAGGGCTTGACTGTAACCCAAGGTGGGGGTTCTGGTCTGTTTGGAATAGTGAGGTGTAGAAACCAACACACTGCTTACAGGAGGTGTTTGCACGAAAATGAGACCAAGAGGAAATCTAGTAACCTTTTGAGAAATAGTGCCTGGAGAAACATGAGCATCACTTATGCTTAGTCTTGTGCAAAGGTGTGACTTGGCTTCTGTGGATGACATTACAGCACTAGCAGTGTTTTCCTAGTGTTTGTCTCCAAAAGAAGGAAAAAAAAATGAGTACTTTCTTTACATTTGAAGTCTTAAGTCAAAAAGTAAGATCTGTCTTAATTTCGACAGCTCTGATTTGGTGGGAGATGGAAATCTAAAGCCAGCACTACCATCAGTGACTCCTGGCAGACCTATTTACAATTAGAAAACTCTGGAATTTTTTGCAGGTCCAGGCGTGACTCATCGATACGTAAATTGAATTTGCCTAAAAATTCCCCACCTTCTACGGTAATTCCTTATTATGTGTGTCAGAGGACATTAAAGATGTAAATACTGTGTTTAGTCCACAATTTAATTAAATTCTGATCTTTTCTACTGATTATAACTGGTTTCTACAGATTTTCATGATGTTTCAAGTAATTCTTTTAAATTGTGATCTAAATAAGCAGCTACATAATATTTACTCATTTACTACCATTTTATCAAGAATGTAAAGCAATTATTTTCCTAAGAAAGTGTTCTTCACTGTAACCTAGTATAATTAAGGAGGCCAGGTCCAACTGACACATATTTTAAGCTTGCATAGCAGAATGCAACATGAAATTTAGATCTCACCTAATGAAATTATTGAATGTAATTAGCTTTGCAAATTTCATCCAGCTTGCCCCACCTCTAATGCTGCTAAAAGCTGTCAGGTAATACACACTTAACCTTTGTAAAACCTTTATAATAGTTTGCCTGTAACACCGTAACAGGGTGTGCCTGATGTCTTTATGTTACTTGAATTGGTCCCAAGGCAGAGATTATTCTTTCCTACTCCTGCTGTCATTAAAGAATAGAACATTTTTTTAAACTCTTCAATATTTGAAAATAATTTAAGAATACAGCATAATTTTGCTTGAACTTCAGTTTATAGCAAACTTGGAATTTAGAAATTGTTGCCGTAAGTTCACTTCAGATTTTGAGATAGATTTTTAGAAAGAAAATTTTAGAAACTTTTCCATCTGGAAAAAAAAAATGGGGGGGAATGCATTTAAATAACCCCTCAACAGATTATTTAAGTAAGAGCTGGATTTTTATTTCAGTATTCAGCCATCTCGGTGACCTGTAGTCAGCATAAGAAAGAGAGATGGGGAAAGCAAGACAGGCTCTTGCAACACAGGAAACGATCCATCAGTCTGTGGCAGCCGTGGTGGGGGTGGCTGCTCAGACCTGGCACCTGGCACTGCAGGGGCAGCTGCTGCAAAGGCACGTCACCTGTGGCACAAGGTGTGACATCAGGCACTAGCCCAGCATTCACCCGCCCCATTTTTCCAAATATCGCACAGAACTGGCAGACACAAACCCAACATGTCTGAGAGTGATGGCTTTTAGGTCTAACCACCTCTCCTTTGCCAGTGATGAATAGGAGTAAGTCCAGAAAAAACCGTCTTTGCTAATTCCTTCACTCAGTTTTGACACCATTTGGTGTGTGCCTGCAGACATCATTAAGCTTCTAACAAATCTTTGCTACTGCTGTAAGGCATTTCTTTTATGTGCTTGTTCACGGGAGCTAAACCTTTACTGCAAGGTAGTGGTGTTTGTTTTTCCTTCTATGAATGAGCAACACTTAATACATTATGTAGTACATAGTTACATTTTGTAGTCTTGCTAGTGAAGAGAACTACTGAAACTGTTTTTTAAATTATCACCGTTTCCTTTAAAGAAAAAGCATGACATCAGATTCTTGTAATGTTGGTCAACAAAAATTGAAGAGGGATAGGGGAGAAAACTAGAAGCTTCTAAGCACTATCAGAGAAAAAATTAAATCTAAATTTTAACTGGAAAGGTCAAGATTAAATATAACTTCCATGAAAAAGACTAACTTTACATTTTTATAAATTGTGTAGTGGTCTGCATATCTGTGGAAGTACCAGACTTCTTCCTGGACACTAACCCAGCACCACTGCAATGGTGAGATAGCAGAGGCATGATAATGTACTTGTGTTGAGGTAATGACCTTGGTGTTACACGTTTTCCCTTACTGCCTGCAGATGTAAAATCACTGCATCATCCCACCTAGATTGGACATGAGATGTTGCACATCTACAGCCCCTACCAAGTCACCTTATTCCTGACTCTTGTGATATCCATTCAGAGATTAAGATCTCCTATTTTTTTTTTTCCTAAGCAGTGCAATACGTCCTCATCCATCCCTATCTTTTCTAAGAAAAATGATGCTATAAGTTAAAAAACCCAACAGACTGCAAAACCGAATACAAATTGCATGCCTTGTAGCACTACATTCCTTAAGGACTTCTGAAGAACTTGTAGGAGCAAGAGCCACATCAGATTCCTCCTGTCCAAGACAATGTAAGAAAACAAAATTCCACGTGTTTTACAAATTATATTTGAGTCCCAAGGGGATGGGAAGAACTACTAGCTAAGCTGAAATATAGAAATCTCACTCTCATACACAGATGGATTCATACAGAACTTGGGCTCTTGAAACTTCAGCAGAGTTCTCCTATCCCATCAAATTTTCACCTGAAAGTAAAGCCATTGCTGCTGAAGTCTTCTTTCTTTTACTGCTTCCTAGTCACATTAAGTACAACTGAGGTGACCATAAATGCTTTGGTGGACAGACTGTGTTCAGTGCTTTGAAATGGTGCCCAGTAAACTGGATTGTGGGATTTTAGCAAGCTGACAACAATGGAACAGTCCATCAACAATGGAACATTCTCCTCAAATGTCTCTCTGTTGGAGGTGGCAGGAGGAAATCTTGAAATTCATACCATTTTAGAAATGAAAAGATCTTTAGCCTCTAAATTCCTTAGTTCAAATTCTGCACTTTTTTACCAACTATGTAATAGTTTGTATGAAACAAACTTGTTTGTATGAGATGATTAGCATATCTACAATGTACGGAATAACCAGAAAGAGGTGACAGTGGCCAAGTAACAGCAGCAGGACAAAACACTCTGTTATCTCTGCAACCACCTCCTATCAGATAGCAGAGACAGGGCTTATTCATGTCTTTAAGAAAGAGATTATTATGCAGAACAATCTCAAAAATCTTTCCAAGTGCCTAGGGGCTGACATCTGCACAGTATTTTCTATTTTGGAGGCTTGCCAGCTGAAATAAACACCTTATCTATTCAGGAGAAAGAAGAGTGAGATGCCTGCCCAGACATCTGTCATTGTACCTGCTTCACTTCCTCTTATCAAGTTTTCTGGAACGAAGCATTGGGCAGCCAGACTAGTTACTTTGTACAGGAGACCAGACAGACTTAATATTCTTCTATCATCTTTCTGAAAAACAAAGTGCTGAGTGAAACAAGGACGAATCCTTTAGAGGCATGGTAAGTGGCAAGAGGGATAATCTTCCATGCTTAGGTGCCTGTTGTTTTCCTGCTTTGGGAGAAGTAGCATGCAGTGGGAGCAGATCTGCCTCATAGTGAGAAGGTTGCACAGCTCCTCTCATCACCCCGTCATGGAAGTGTGAGCTCTAGCAGATTACCTGTCAAAAACAGTCTCTGAAATCACATCTTGCCTGAACTAGAAGACTGGGCTACCACAAAGAAATGTTTCCATCACACATAGCACACTGAACTCTGCACCTAATGTAAGTTTTGCTGGCCTGAACCCTTGCCTCATTTCATTATGCTGTTTAGAAGCCTACAGCAACCAGATAAACCACATCTAAAGCTTGAAAAACTAGAGAGAGAACGCATTAACTAAGCAGGTGGAAAGGGAGAACATCTGTTTTTTCACGTTTGCCACATTCCCAGCAGGAGGAAGGTTAAAGCTAAGGAGAATAAAAACAGCTGCAAGTTCCATTTTAATAGCACTATCTAGGACAGTGAACTTTGAAGAGAATGGAGTGAACACACAGAGTCTGGACACCCTGAACAGCACATAGATTCACAGACACACCAGCTGGCAGCTCTGCTTTACTTGCAGGCGCAATGTGAGGAGTGGCAGGACACTCATTGAAAAAGCTATGTCAAAGATGGTTTAAACCCTGTTCAAGGACAGTCTTCAAAGTGTTTATCAGCTCACCATAAAACTGCTAGGAGAAATTACAACCTGTCTTCCTCTTCATTCTGATCTTTGTTAGTATATCCCACATGTTGTCACTGCTGCTTCTGATACA